ACTGGTTTGGGTGTCCCTCGAAGGCCTATAACTGAAGGCTGGTCAACAGTTGGCAGTACAGAGAAGTGGTGGCACTTACAGGTGGTCCCAGGGTCACTGGGGGATTCCTAGACATGCTCTCACCAGAGGCCACCCGTGGGTCCGCCCAGTCTTAGGCTCTGAACCTCTGAAATCATAAGTGAAAAGCTCTCTTTGCTCCATGGTGAGGAGGATTCACTACAGGGTTTACATCACAGTGGTGGAGAGCCCCAAATCAGAAGGGATTCCTTCTGCTGAGCCGACTTCGAGCTGGGCATTGTCTTCTCTGATTTTGGTCTCCAGCTGAAACATGCCAGCCTCCAAACCAAAACCACAACAGGCTCTTGGACCTCAGCTTGCTGATGCTGTCTTGGGATGTGTCAGCCTCCGCCATCCCAGGAGCCGTTGGCTCATTCGCCCACACCCTGTGGGTGCTGAGTCTCTGGATCATTCTCGTTAAAAGAATATGCTTTCTCACAGTCTCAGCAGAGGAGCAACAGTGACCGGCTGCTGGAAGGGAGCTCAGCAAAGCACAGGCCACTGGACAGCGTCAGCTGGGCTGAGCTACATGAGGTGAGGCCCCACACACAGGGGAAGGTCCTGGGCAGAGCGCGTGTGACATCTGGACTGAAAGGTCATCTCGCCGAGTTACCTGGTTTTGTAAAAGCTACACAATGAACAGCAGACCATCTCAACCATTTCACTTGCCATACAGAGACCTTCTCCCAGAGAGACCGTCCCTCACCCTCGGGGGTCAACACCCACAAAGCACCCAGTGTCCCCCATAATAAGAAAAATTCTATAAGAAGAAACAACAACAGATTTTTAAGAATAAAAAGCTCCTGGATTATCATAAATGTATCCAGTCAAATCCTCTTGACCTTGGCAGGAGGAAGCTGTGCTGTGAAAAGGTAGTCCTGTTCCTCACAATAACACCCTGAGACGGGAAGGCAGGCAGGCTGGCCCTGCTGATGACATATGCTGCAGAGAAACAACTGCACTTGGCCACATCCCCTGGCGGATCCCCTGCCCTCTGTGGTGATAGGCTCTTCGGGGCCTACACTGTCCTTCCTTCCTGTGCACCCTTCACCTCCGACGCACCAGAAAAATGCACCACATATTACGCGCACTGGACTTCACGTTCCTCGACGGCCACGTGAGCGCTGCGACCGCCGCGTTCATCCTACTGTTCACTGAAACGTCCCCAGTGCAGAGGCAGCATTGCCGACACACGAGGAAAGGGAAGTGGCGGGTCCACAGGACACACTTCTGCATCCAGTGAGGACTCAGATGGTCCAACCATGGGCTCCATCTCGTCCATGTCTCTTCAAGAAGTAAGAAGAAGCAGAAACAAAAGATTCTCCTTAGCCCCCACTGCCCCATACTCAGCCTCCCCACAGGCCTGCCCTTATTTTCTTCCCTGGCAATGGCCAGAGTTCTTCCTTCTGAGTACTGCTAAGCCCTAATCTCAAATACGTGATGTGAATCACTTTGAATTACCAGTGATGAATGGTGATATTAATATTACTGGACAGTGACGCATCCTCATCAATGTTTATAGCAGGTCAATTCACAATAGGCAAGCTATGGAGCCAGCCTAGGTGCCCTTCAACAGGTGGATGGTAATGAAAATGTGGTAAAAATATACAAGGGAATATTACTCTGCCATAAAGAAGAATGAAATTATGGCATTTGCTGGTAAATGAATGGAGATGGAGAATATCATGGTAAGCAAAATTAAGCCAGTCCCTAAAAACAAGAGGCTGAATGTCCTTTCTGATTTGTGGATGCTAACACACAGTAAAGGGTAAGGGGTGGTAGGGTTGGATTAGACAAAGGGGAATGAAGGGAAGGGAGGGGGATGGGAATAAGACAGTGAAATGAATGGGACATAACTTTGCTCTGCTCACATATGAATGTGAGACCAGTGTGACTCCACGTCATGTACGACCACAAGAATGGGATCCAAGTTGGAGCGGGTTGCACTCTATGTATGTATAGTGTGTCTAAATACACCGACTACCCTGTATATCTAAAAACAACAAATGAAAAAGTAGATCATGGGGAAAATTAAGAATAGTGTACATAGTGCTTTGTGCATATGAGAAGGAAATCTGGACACTTTTGAACATAAAGAATCAACAGTTCATTTTTGGCCTAACAGAAGATGCATATAAAGCAGGGAATTTTAGAAAGCTCTTTCAATCTGCTCCACAACAGTGCATCCAAACCTCTGTTCAGGTTTCAATACTGCACCACGTGCTTTGGGATGAGGTATCTGTTTTGCTGTTTTTTTCTTTTTTTTTTTTAGTACCAGGGACTGAGCTCAGGGGCCCTCGACCACTGAGCCACATCCCCAGGCCCTATTTTGTATTTTATTTAGAGTTGCTTAGTGCCCCGCTTTTGCTGAGGCTGGTTTGAACTCTGGATCCTCCTGTCTCAGCCCCAAGAGGTGCTGGGACCACAGATGTGCAACACGGGGCCTGGTGGAAGTTTGCCTTTGTTCTGTCCAGTACTGACGTACAGGATACAACTGGAGAATCAAAACATGAAACCCACAGCATAGTCAAGTCTACTTAACGAACACTTATTGAGCAGCTACTCTGTGAGGTCTTGGAGGGAACAAGAGGATGTCCCCAACACAAGGCCATGCTCCCCAAGGGGCAGAGAGAGGAGGGCACAGTTCTGCCCAGCACGTACAGGAGGAGAGTGGCTCAGGACACTCATTAGGCAGATATGACTTCCCAACTAAGAAAGTCCTAAATCAGAGTTCAACTGAAGAAAAAAACTATCCTTCAATTTATATGATGGAACAAATGAATTCAGGGGAATTCTTTCACCTGGGAGAGGTGACAGCCTTTCAAACACCTCTGCTAGGGGCATGGGTGTTTAATGTCCACCTGCCCATCAGTCCATCCATCCACCTTCCCACCTGCTGTGTACCAACAGCCACTGTGAGCTGGGCTAGGCCAGGCGGACACGAGCTCCTGCAAACACACTGCCATAGCATCTCCTCCCCACAGTTCCCCAGTGTCACATTGCCCTGTGCTCACGGAAGAGAAGGCTCTCCAGGGCGGCTGCTTTCTCCTGCACACACCTTTTCCTTGTTTACACTGGTTGTAGCGGATGCTTGCTGAGCTGTCTGTCTAATGCCTGGAAGCACATCTACGCTGTATCCTACACGGCGACCTCGTGTATCACGGCACCGTCGCGGGTGCTCAATAAATCATTCCCCTGAGTAGCAGCAAATCAATGCTGTTCTTAGAAAGAAGACACAAATCACTATCAGTAGCACCTTCCCACATCCTCAAAAGCATCTGGCCTGTCAGAAACATCCAAAGTCCTCCTGACACTCTGGATGGGAGGACCAATTAGACCTTCCTGAAACACCAAGTCTAGCTCAGCACTCTACATGCCAAGATGCAAACGCCAAGCTCCAGAAGAGACAAGACAATCTGAGACTGCAACCCGGTACATGCCAATGAAAGCTGAAAATCCAGAGCCCGGAAGAACACGGTCTGCTTTCAGCTAGTGCAGAACCCCAGGTCACAGCAGGCTGAAGCACTCAGCTGCCTACTGTCCAACTTCCCTCCAGGACCTTCTTGAGGGAAATACCGCCCTGGAGGAGGTATGCAGGACACATAATCCAAACATTGCTCTGGAGAACTAAGTCTGCTCTATGCACCAAGAAGTTTAGAGTTGAGCCAGAATGTTCTTGGCGTGAATGTCATGCTTTGAGCCATGCCCTGGGCACACTAGGGAAGTCATGAAGACCATACGGGGAGGCTCACTGGGGACTCACCAAAGGCAGGTCGCCAGGACACAGCCTTGGGTACACATGAGAGCCACAGTAACAATTATCCCTACCTGTCAAGGCCAAGCTTGCCCCTTTCCTCTGTTGACTGTTTCATGTTTCCTTGTTTTCAGTTGTAAAATTCACAACCAAATTTACAGTCAAGTTTGGATAGCTCAGGTAGCCCACACCTCTTGCAGGTGCCCCCCATGACCCTTCATAGAAGAGCCCCTGTCCCTCACCTCCATCCCACCCTCCCCTTCCTGCCTCTCCCCACTTGCTGGTTTGCCTTGACCACCCTTTTTGGCCTGCTGGTTCATTCATGAGTTTGTCCTGTTCCCTGCCAGTGAGTAACCAACAAGGTGGCACTGCTTCCACCGGAAGCCCCAGCAACCAGAATACCACCTGAAACAGGCACCTGGTAAACACTTCCCAGTGACTCCAAGGAAGCACCATGAGCTGTACAAAACTGCAATCTCTGCACTTCCAACTCCACCATGAACTTGAACTTTGATTCTAAATTATATTTTTCCCTGGTTCTGACGTTTGTCATTTGTGCTTCTGTCTTGAAAGTACTTGTGTAAGCCAGCTTAAGTTGTTTATGAAGTGAAGCAGGAGACAGCAGACGGACAGACAAGTGTGAATAGGTGGAAGGGTGCCCTGTGCCGACGGGAAGTCCAGCTCAGGACACGAGGCACTGAGCCAATCGGTGTGACCTTTCTACGGAAGCTGATGGCTCTTCTCCTAGCCTGTGTGGATCTGAACAGATGATGCTTACTATTTAAAAAGGGCAGTCTGTGGGGAAATCTGCTGGGCCTCTGTAGCTGTCCCCACACTTCCCACTGGCCCACTGTCTGCTGAGGCCTCAAGCAAAGAAGGCTTTGCTTTTCACCACAGATGCAGCCACACGTCCACATCATGCTCCTTTTCATTCTGAAATGCTTTGAAATTAAACAAATGAAGCGTTCCTAGAGTGTTCTGAAATATACTGTGCCTCTCCCCTGAGCCCTGCCCCTACAGAGACCTACTGAAGATGCAACCCTGTGATCATCAAAGTAGGAGAAGATGCGCCAGCTTAGACCAGTTCTGTCCCAAGCTACCCCCAGGCAAGTTAATGCCCAGGCCACATAAGAGGACAGAGGACGTGCAGTGACACAGGGAGCAGGGGTTTCCCAGAGGGGACCCTTACCTGCTTCACCACGGTCACTGTCCCAGGTGCCATGGCAACCACGGAGGCAACGGCGGTGGCATCATGTGTCTCACTGCCCAGCTCGATGATCTGCTGCAGGATGTTTACGGCCGTGGGGTCGAGCCGGTCACCTTAGGAGGAAGAAGCACACAGAAGACCATCAGGGCCTATGAAGGGCACCCACGGCAAAACTGGACCCTCCCCTCTGGGTGCTTCACAGGGCCTCTTCCAAAGGATGCACGGGTTCTCCATAGTTGCTTGTTTTGACAAGAGAAATATTTGTATAGTACTTTATAGTTTACTAAGCATTCTCTCTAGAAACCTTTCAAAACCTCGAGCAACTATGAAGAGACAGCATTGTGCTTCTATCCCCATTTCACAGACCTGTCACTGAGTCACCAAAAAAGAAAACAACAGCCTCGAGAGTTTGCCTCTGCCACCGGGGCTCTATCTGCAACCTGTCCAGGGCCAGAGGCCTTGCGCCAGACTACCCCTGCAGGGTCCATGGACGAACACCATTCACTCACAGTTCACTCATCCAGGCCCACTCTGGGTGTCCACAGACTTGCCCTCACCATTCTCAGAGGTGTATCTCAGGTCCTGGAGTGCAGCCACAGCTGCCTGCGTCCCCTGAACATCTTCTTCGGCCTCTGTGATGTGGAGATACTGGGTCGAGGGCTCCTCAGATGTTTCTGTTGCTGGCTAAAATAAAGACAAAACCTAAGTGGTCTTCTAACAGGCTGACCAACCCCCAGGGGCTTTAAGACAATGTACTGAGACAAAGCAACACTGGCAACATCTCATTTACCTAGCTTTCCTAAGAAAACAGTTGCTCCAATAAATAATCCCAAAGAGAAACCTTCTCTTTGCAAGTACCAAGGTTTTAAAACCAGCTCTGGTGGAAGCTTCTTGTTCCTCGTTCTTGCAGGAGGAAGAGCAGAGGATGCTGCTCACAGTCAGAGAACAGCATGATTATTATTCTTGCACATGCACTACCAGTGGCTTCCCCATCTCCTCCCATTGCTACCAATGCCTCGACGAATCTGCCCCTTACACGGGACCTCAGGCCATGGGGCTAAGAGAGGCAACTGAGCAGCCAACAGTAGGGAGGAGGAGAAGAAAGGGGGGGATGGGTAAGTACAAGACATGCGGAGCCTGGGTGCCAGCGTGTGGGAAATCCAGTGCATCCCAGCTCTTCACGCCATTCCGTTAGCTGTGTGAAGGTACGATAAACAAAACTCACTACAAGACAGCCATCTGTGCTAGATCAGCACTTATGATGGGGAAGGATGTTCACAGGTACAGAGAGGGACAGCAGGGGAGAAGTGGGGAGAATTTTCACAGAGCTGGATAAAAGCAATGGTCTCCTTCAGGTCTGGCTGGGCATAGGAGCAGAGCTATGAGGCAGGAGGCAGGACTGTCACCAAGGAAGGAGAAAAAGGAAGACCTCCGAGGAGGCTTAGAGGAGCCACAGTCATGCTCTATAAGCACTCGCTGGGAGCTGACGGAAGCCAGCAGGCCAGGCACCTGTCCTTTCACAGCCAGCTGGCCAGCTCCATTTAGGTTTTTCCAGGCTGACCCAAGAGACTCCCAATAAATACCTGATGAATGCAGAAATCAACAAAAAGAAAGGCATTTCCCTTAGGAGCCACTGAGCCATGTCTTAGCTAACACTGGACCCAGGCCTGCCTGAGCCTGCCAAAGAACGGCACACACATGGAATGCCACCTCATTCTGGGGACTGCATATTAGTACAGCGCTCTTTGTTTTTGTTTTTCAAGAGAAAAATATAATTTTAATGAAAGAAAAGACATTTTAGAAATTTATTTATAAAAATTTGACCTTCTAAAAAACTAGGATTTTTTCCAAATATAGTTCACTTGAATAATTTCAAGACAGAATCCTGTACCTGCCTTTGTAAGGCATTTCTGAGAGCCAGAGAGCCCAAACTCCTAGAATAGGCAACATGTTAGTCCCTGGCGACCACAGGGCCCAGCTTATTGGCTGCTCGACTGTCTCACTTGTGGGGTCAAGGATAGGGCTTTGTGTCAACTGGTTTTGCTCTGCTTAAGGTGGAAACTGCTGGAAGGGAGGCCTGCTGCATGCATTGACCAGTGACCAGGATGGAACAAGCTTTACATCACAACCAAGCCACATCTCTTTAGTTCAAGAAAGCAAATCCTTGCAGCATGCCTCTGAAACACCAGGGGATTAGCTGTGTCCCCACAGACAGAGCCTGAGCTGAGGACACTAGCCTCACCAGCAGTACTCAGGGCTTCCTGGGGCCAGAGGCAGAGCCCAGCACTTACACAGCCTTCTCCAACCCACTAAGCCTCTCAGGCATTATTAGCCTACTGTTCAGATGAGGACCAAGGCACAGGTTTAACAACAGCTCAAGGTCAAGCAGTTTGTAGAAGATAGAGGCAGGACTCAAAGTCTGTCACTCAGAAGTTCATACTGATTTAAAAATTACAAAAAAAAAAAAATGCCAACATACTCAAAAGCAGAGAGATGAGTGCAATCAACCTCCATGTCCCCGTCACCCAGTCTGACAGTCATCAACTCATGGCAGGCAGGGTTTCCCCACACACATTTCATGCCCTGCCTTTGGATTATTTTGAAGTGAATCCAGGAATCATCTTTTCTTCTATAAATATTTTAGAATGTATCTAAAAGCTAAAACTCTTCCAAAACATAAGTTTAATTCCACTGTCACCCTCAAAAACTCAGCAATAAGCCCTGAATATTATTGGTGTCTAGGTAACATTCAGATTTTCCCAATTATCTTTAACCAGCTTTAACTGCTGGTTCAAACCAAACCTGAGTAAAAGTCATTCCTGAGAAGTGACGGTCCATCTCAGAGGACTTTTAAACCCCACATGTGCTCTCCTTGCTGGCCTTCCCTCTGGGGACTGTTTGTTGAAGCAAGAAGGCAGTGCCTCACAGGTCCAATACCCTGACCCGCCGAGCACATCACCCTGGACAGTCAACCTGTCCCTCCGTCCCTAGTTGCCACCAGCTGAGAGTATGAAGCTGAGGCACGATCAGAGCAGAGTCCCCTCCTGGCACGAGTGCTTCAGGGTGGCAGTGCACGTGCATTGCGTGGCTCTCATGTGTAGTACTGGCAGTGACTGACACTCCCTGCTGGACCCACAGCATCATTACAAGGTTGCAAAATTGTAATTTTCTACAGGAAAAACTTCCCCTCACCAAATCTTTGGTTATGCTCACACTGGTGGGTTTTTCTTTCTTTAAAGGTAGGCTAATTGCTTATTCCTGGCTTTTATTACCAACTTTCAAAATAAAGAGCTGATTCTCTAGCATCCTATAAAGGTGTCTGAGCTGTTTTTCCCAAACAGCACTATAAACTTATAAAATTAAATGTATTTTATGTATTCCACTGTGTTTACTAAGTACTAACAGCTTCAGAATAACAGTATCATCCCTACCACCACCAACAGGAAGTAATGGAAAAGAGTACAATTCTTTTTGCCTTTAGGTTATGTCCCCTAAGGAAGGTACAATCCAATTACTGTTTTAAAGGCTCTCAAAACAGTTCCTGTCTGTTGTTATGCCACCAACTTGAGGAACAGCTAGAATCATTCATTTCCCCTTCTCTCGATGTTTAGGACTCTCTTTTTTGAAGTTCAATGTTCATTCCTATGTAGCATTTGTCCATGATGTCACAGTGAGAGCCACACCCCAGGGTGCTGGAGAGGCAGCCCTCCCTGTCCTCCTCACCTTCCCCCTTCCCCATGCACAATGCCCACCTCTTTATTCTCCATAACTACTTTATTTTGAAGTAACTGTGGACTTAGACAGGAGCTGCATGCCCTCTGAGTAAATTAGGCATTATTAGCCTAATCCTCTAATGGTCACCGCACCATTGTCAAAACTGTGCCGCAGTCAGGCTCTCCCGACTCCACTGGATCTTCCTCACGTTCTTCCTCTTCCAGGACCCTCCCTGGATCCCATGTGTGGGTGTGGTACCAGGGCCGTGCACTGGCCAGGCCAGCGCTCCACCGCAGAGCCATGCTGGCAGCCCATCCCACAGGAATTCAATCACAGCTTCCCTGGTCACTCATGATCTTGACAATTCTGAGGAGTCCAGGCCTAGCGTGTGGACGTGGGCATGTCTGATGGTTCTCACAGTCTGAGAAGCTCCTTCTTGTGACATCAACCAGTTGGTACCAGTGTCAGTACATTTTACTACTGATGATGCCAGCCTCCAGCCCTTGTGTAAGGTCCACAGGCTCCACTCTAAAGGCACTTCCTTTCCCCTTGCAATTAATAAATATTTGGGTGGAGAATTCTTGAGGTTATGCAAACATCCTATTTCCCTCACACACCTGCCTGGTGGTTTCAGCAATCTCAGAGGGAACTTGTCCACAGCATCACTCCTGAGCTGTTTTTCTATTTCCCCAAATCTGTCTACATTTATTAACCAGAATCCTCTACGAGGATGCATAGTCCCTTCTCCCCATTTATTTGTTAAATCACCTATTTATATCAGTGCAGACTCATGAATACTTCATTCTTTGGGTTATAATCCAACGCGGTCAGTATTGATTTTGTTACTCAATTTTCAGCTTCGGCCACTGAGAACTCTTTCTGGTTGCCTCCCGTTTCCTTCTGACATACATCCCCTTTTCATCCTTTCCTTTTCTGTTTTGTTTTGATCACTGTCTGTCTGGAGCACATTTCTAGTACCACATATGCTCCCTCCTCTTATACATTCTCTGCCTCAGCCCGGTGATCAACTACATTCCTTATCAGAGAATGCTACTAGACACTAAGACCTGCGCTGCGCGTGGGGGTGCATTCCTGTAACCCCAGCAACTTGGGAAGCTGAGGTAGGAGGATAAGAAATTCTAGGCCATCCTCAGCAACTTATTGAGGCACTCAGCAAATTCATGAGACCTTGTCTCAAAATAAATATTTAAAAGGGCTGAGGATGCAGGTCAGGGTTAAAGCTGCCCTGGGTTCAATCCCCAGGACCAAGAAAAGAAAAAGAAACCAAGACCTGGTCCCTGGTGTGCTCATTGCTCGAGTATCACTGATTCCAGGCCCTCTCAGCCTGAAAGCCTGAGAAATGTAAGGCTGCATACTAACCACGTCACACACCGGTTGTTCATCCCTTATCTGAAATGCTTGGTAACAAAAGTGCTTCCGAGTTCACACTTTTGGGATTTTGAATACATGCACGTCTACATCTCTATATAAAATGAGACATCTCGGGGTTGAGACCCAAGTCTAAACATGAAAGTCATTTATGTTTTATGTCCACCATACACAGAGGCGGGAGGTGGTTTTGTACAGTATTTTTACTGAACCTGTGTTTGGGCTGTGACTCCTCAAGTGAGCACTGGATGCACTGCCATGGCCCCTCTGTTTTCTAGGGTGATCCTGAGAGCCCGGGAACACGGACAATGCTATGCCTCGGACATTCTTGGTTTACTCAGCAGATGCCCTAGGGAGGGGGCGATGCAGTACTAACTAGTAGGAAGAGTCCCACAATGCAGCCAAACATCCTGAAAGCCCCAGGACAGCCTTCCACAAGGAAGACTCACCCAAATCAAACGTCAACAGTGCTGAGTTTGAGAAACCCTGCCTGTGTCCACGGAGATGACACCTGGTATTTGATAAGAGGGCCAGGTGACTGCTCCAACTCTGAAGGGGAAAAATGAAGGCAGCAGGAAGGAGCACCAGCCCCCAGGGAGGGAGAGGAGGTCTGATCAGGAAGTGGGGCCTTTGCAACTCTTTCAGTGAGGATGGTATATGCTCCCTGCCTTCCCTTCTCTCAGATGCAACATCTGAAACTCTGGATTTGTGAACAGAAGAATTAAAAATGTCAATGCAAATATTCACAGGAGAGTCTAACTTCAACCCAGAAGAAGAATGTATACATGACCCAGATCCTACACAGCTGTACCCCAAGACACAATTATAAAAGGTTTCAGAAATTTCCCAATGAACAATCTCAATGCCCTGAGGATTGGTGTCTGTGCCCAGTTATACCCAGTCTGTCATTTGGTTTAGAAATGTCAAAATCAGGACCATACTTTAAAAAGTTACCTCCCACTTGGGGTCTCCATCAATTTCCACCACCTTCAAGCCGTGTTTGTTCTTCAAGTGCCTGTTGAACTCCCATTTGGTGCCATACACAAAGCTGCACACGGGGCATTTCAAACCACCTGTAAGCACAGACAGGTAGAAGGTGTTCATAACATACAGGAATGTCAGGCTCCTCTCCTGCCCACCTGCCTCAATACATGTCTCCAGCATTTACATTCCATCAAAGTTCACCTGAGCTTTGGATCACAACAGCAATAGTGTGTGTATGTGTTTTTCAGGGTAAAAAATTAAAACTTAGTGTACTTTTCTCATTTACTGAAAAAACATATGCAGAGACCCTAACAGTGCTTGATATTTTAGATGCCAGAAAGAAATAAAATGAGTAACATAATCCCCTTGGCTGAATGGATAAGTGGCCAAAATCATTCTTTCATGTTTTCATTTGCAAATGACAAATAATTTAGGGGACAAAAACACCAGTGAAGGGTAGTGGCTGCTGCTGTCGATCTCCTTTGAACCAAACATGTAAGACCAGGACAGGAGTCAGATCCTCAGTCTCATTCATACTAGAAACTAAGTCATTGGTCAAATTCTCACAAGAATCTCCCAGCAAAGAACCAATTAAAAAGCTGGTCACATTCTGAAATGTCACTATTTATTGAACTGATTGAATTTTGCACATATTCCAGGAAGTGTTTGGATGCTTTAATTAGGAGAACATAAAACTCGAGGTTAAAAAAAATTTGGAGTTACACAAAAGACTGTCTTTCTAAATTTCTGTTACAAACAGCAACCAAATTGGAGACTGAACAAAGATCCCTTTGAGCAGTTGGGCTTTCTGACACAAACCGCAGTCCTGAGATCAGCCCAACTCTACCAGCCAGTGATGCCTGCTGCCACTGCAGGGCTTCCACCAGGGGCTGGGTGGGCCTGGGCACCCCTGGGGCTGGGCGCCTTGCCACAGTGCCCCTGGGTGCCAGCTGCTCACTCCCCAGTGGTCAGCCCCTCATCCTCTTCTGCCCTTTATTCTCCACGGGGACCCAGCACCTTCTCCTTGCCATCACTACCATGCCATGTGTCCTGGGATCTCAGAGCTCTCAGGCAACAAGCCCAGCGGGGAGGACCTGCTTCTTCTCCCTCCATCTGCGTGCACTCTGCTAAGTCCCCTCTAGTGGGAGCTGTTCATGCTCAGGGGCCCCAGATAAGGAAGAGGCCAGGCCAGGGCCATGCCGTCTCACCTGCTCACTTTGTGTCTGGATATCACCCTGGCCTCATTATTCGCCTCTTCTCTTTCTCAAGCTCCAGCTAAACTTATTGGGTCTTCTCCCTACCTTCCAGGTCTCTTTGTGGTCACCTCTATCGTCTCTGGGCTGCATTCTGGATAACTGCTTCTCTTCCTCCTCCCCTGGACACAGCTACACATGCTTATACTTCCATCTGAAGCCTGGCTCTGTGTCTTGTGTTGCTCCTACTCTCACTTGGGATGATCTCTTCCACTTTAAGCTGATTTATCTTTTACTATGTATTGGTTATTATTCTTGGAAACCCCTCAGAAATGCATTTAGGCCTGAAATGCAAAAGCCTTTGTCCAGGGACGCTATCTATCTGCTTCTCCTGGGTTCTTTCGAGCACTATCACTTTTAGAACCACTTGAAAGAAGTCAAATTCATCGCCTGAGGTTCCCATGCCCTCCCGGAAATGGGAGTCCAGGTTTCAGGGATGTGTGTGTACCTGAGAGCAAGTGTGCGGGCATGTGCGCGCCTGCAGGGTGGGGTGGGGTGGGGGGACACCTCTGGTTCACCCCTACTGAGGACAGCCCTGGAGGTCTCCAGCTTGTGTGCTCCGGGAGTGCTCCTTTTCACCCCTTCCCCCAGTGAAGCCATCAGAACAAGTGACACTCTGCTAGATTATCAGAACAGACTAGCCCTCACAGGGGAAGGTCCAGGGCCCACCTACTGGGTTCCATTTTCCTGTTAAGTTTGGCTCATTAATTGCACACTATCTTGATAGTTTTTCAGGCTTTTAAGATTTTTAAAAATGTTCTCTTGTATTTTTAAATTATTTTCTTGTATTTTTTAATTAGTCTAAATAAACTGTCCCACCATTAAGACTCAGTTGCTATTATTTTTCCTATAAATAATTCAATATGTATTTCCTTAGAACAAGACTTTCTTGTGGATGAACTAGTGCAGCTAGCAGAAGTCAGTTCATTTAACATCGACAGAACATTATTGTTTAGCCCAAATCCTGTCCATTGTTTGCTGCTGCCATCTCACTTACCCTCTTCCTCACCTTCCACAGGATATGGAGTCTGGCCCACCTCCCGTGTCACCCTAGTCCATCCCTGCTCCCTCTGCTTCCTCTCTACACAGCCTCCCCCCCAGGGCCCTGGCTTTCCAGCAGCTTCTCTTCCTACTGAACCGGCATGGCAAATCCACCATCCAGAATCAATCCAACCATAGCCTTCCTTGCTGGGATCCCAGGATGCTGAGGCAAATCACAAAAGCATACTCATTTTGACTGTCATGTTTCTAACTTCAGAATTTCCCTAGTTCGCCTCCACTTACCCAGGAATGTGACCAATTCTCAACCACCTCATTCCTGACATGCTCTAAGTTACTGCCTTCTACTTTTAGTACAAGCCTTCTTGTACTAAAAAATTATGTTCACTGCACATCAGCCTGGGCAGGCGCCAGGAGTGATGAGGTTCCCCTCCGTCCAGAGACCAGCCTCCACCCTGTGTCCCCAGCACAGCCCTGGTACAGCTCCCCTGGACTCGAGGCCCTTTCCATAACCTATGGCTACATTCTCCCTTATCACTCTGAAATGAAAACTGTGAAAAGCACAAGTACCACCACACTATCAATAGAATGCACTAACATAAAAGAGAAATGAAAGGAACGTGTTACATAACACACTGTAGTTAAACTACAGATAGTCTGAATGTGAATGCGTAAACACAATTACAGAAATTTTAGAAAATCTCCTCAAGTTTGCGGCCTCCCTAGAGGTAGCCCCTACACTGAGCATCTCTTAGGGGAGTGTTTCTCGGGCTCTGGGACCCATACCTGCCTCGTTTGCCTGTCTCAGCAGCTGGGCATCCTGCTTACCCCTTCTCCAGGTCCTCCTCCTGCCCCCTTTAGACAGGGTGCCCCCGGAGCCTGCTGATTCGTTAGGGAGTCATCACTCTGTGCATGTTATTCCTGAGCTGATGACGACCCTGCCTTAGTTCCAGCCCAGCCTTCTGCACTGAGCTGCGGCTTCAGAAGCGGCCCAGGCACCCTCCCTCACCAGGCTCAACAGAGTAGTGTGCTCCCAGTGTCTCCTGGTCCAGGCCTCTAGGGTCTTTTGCACAGATGGGGGCAACTGGCTCCTCCCCCATCTCCTGGTAGCCTCTTGGTCCTCTACTCTTGGTCTGCTCACTACCTAGCATGCTGAATGGTCTTTGAAATGACAAACTAAATCACATGTTGCACAGGTGTGAAGCCCTCCCATGGTTTCCCGACACACCTGGAGTACAATCCTGGCTCCTCCTGTCCCGAGCAGCCTCCCTCTGATCTCACATCTGCCCTCTCCTTCCTTGGTCTTTTACACCATCCCAGCTCATTCCCTCCTGAGCCTCCTTGTCTTGGAAGCTCATCCTGCAAGATCTGCATTTGATCTCACTCCACATTAGGGTCTCCAGACTTGCCCCTTCAGAAAGGCCTTCCCAGATACTCCTGCCCAAGGGACCCCCACCCACAGAGCCACCCAAGCCCTAAGGGGTTTCCTACTGTGGATCAGTCATCACAGAGATCAGTGAGATGCTGTATTACTTATATTTCCTGCACATTTCATTGTCTATCTTCCCTTGTTGATGACACCCTTGATAGGACAAGAACTTGGCCCAGCAACCTTGCTACTCAAGCCCCAGCACCTAGCAACTGTAGGTCCTCAATTAATGGGCGCTGACTCACTGACTCCAGGTCTCCTCAAATCCTTTTTCCAAGAGTCCCCCAACTCTCCTCTATTTTGTCCCTTTGCTCTGACTTCATCTTTCTCCTCAGCCAGGAAGTTTGCTCAGTCTTATGGGGAGAGGAGTTGGACCAAAAAGCCCGCTCTGCTGCCGAGGTGCAGCCTGCTGCAGAGCAGTGTCTTAGTCAGCTTTTTCTCTGCTGTGACTAAAAGACCTCACAGGGCCGACTTTAGAGGAGGAAAGTTTGTTCTGGAGCTCAAGTTCAGAGGTCTCAGTCCATAAACAATGACTCTGCTGCTCTGGGCAGAGTGAGGCTGACATCATGGCAGATGGGTGTGGTGAAGGAAGCCAGCTCAGGACATGGCACCAGGAAGCAGAGAGAGACAGACTTCTCCTCTCACGAAGGATAAAATACAGACCCCAAAGGCATGCCCCCAGTGACCCACCTCATCCAGCGGCACTGCACCAGCCTACAGTTCCCAGCAGTTAATCCCTATCGGGGGACCCGTGCTCTGATTCAGCTAGACTCGCATAACCCATCATTTCACTCTGAACTTTCTTGCACTGTCTCACACAGGAGCTTCGGGGGACACCTAGATCTAAAGCATCATAGGGGGATGTTATGAAGAGTCTCCATCTCCAAGGAAGGGCATCATGGCTTCTTCTGAGAAGGAAAACAGGGAGAGAGGCTGAGGAGGAGGGCTACTTTTCACGACTCATTCATCTGAATCCTTTAAATTGTATTCCATGAGAGAATAAAAACCCTATTCAAAAGAATTACTGAGTATAAATCTAAACCAGGAAATGATACGAAGCCATCATTTTCCTTCCCCTCCAATAGCAAGGCCAGTGGTTCTTGCCCAGAGTGATTCCCTCCTAGAAGGGACTTTTGGTAATTTCTGGAGAAATGTCCATTGTTACACAACCAGGGGGTGCTGCTGGTATCTGATAGGCTCAACATCCAACAATACACAGGACTGTACTAAAACTGAGAATGATCTCCCCTAAACATCTGGCTGCTGAGGTTGCCATAGCAAGCAGGCTCCTGTACCCACCCTCCTGCTGTGCCTATGACCAGAGCCCCAGCTCCCTCACTGGTCACTCCCGTGAGCACTGTTTTACTCTCAGCACCACCACCAACAGCGGTGACACCTTGCACAGTTG